GTCTGTCTGTCTGTATGTATTGATAATGTATTACAGAATAGAGTGAATGAATTGAATGATTGAATTGAATATATTTTCAGTGATTTGTTTGAAATGATTGTGTAATACATGTTATAAACGAGTGATTAATCCATTGGTTTAGCGTTGAATCGAGTGATCATTGTTTGGCTCACTTTGTTATATACCGCGGACTCAAGTGTTGGTCAAATCTGTTTGGCTGTAAAGCACGTGAAGTACTGTCCAAATGTTGAAACAGTTGGAAATGGGTTTACGCGCCGTTTTGGTCTTCGCCTCCAAGATATGGACATTCATTTGCTATGTCCTCAAGAAACAAGTCAGGACTGTATGGACACAACACCTTCACTCCCATCAACACATCCCATCACATCCACTGCCATTCATACCATTCATACTCATAGCACTGAATGCACTGATAGGCCATTGTCTCACCAATTGGTCCATTGCTTTGAATGGCTGTAATGGTTATGGGATGTGATTGATTGGATGAGTGATGCGGAAGGTTATGATGAAAGTGTTGATTATGTCAATTATGATCTCGTTTTGCAGGTAATACAACACCAAACGGTTAAATACCATATCATGCCTTTGTCTCCGCTCTCCAAACACAGACTAAGTGAGTGTTTCACTAATTTAGCCATTGATTCAAACAATACATGGATTTAATGATGTGTTTTGTTGACAGGTTTGGTGAAGAGGAAGGTATTGGTGTTAGACTTAGACGAGACGTTAATACATTCACATCACGACGGAGTGATTAGACAAATGGTCAAACCGGGAACACCGCCCGACTTTGTGCTCAAAGTGACAATAGATAGACATCCCGTCAGGTTCTTCGTGCACAAGAGGCCACACGTCGACTACTTTCTTAATGTCGTGAGTAGTGTGACCACAACAATGTCCATCACTTGCCCTTCTGTTGGCTATAATAACACTGTTTGTTGTCCCGAAAGGTGAGCCAATGGTACGATTTGGTTGTGTTTACGGCAAGTATGGAGATATACGGGGCGGCCGTCGCCGACAAACTGGACAACAATCGGGGCATTTTGAAGAGGAGATACTTCAGACAGCACTGCACTCTAGACTACGGCAGTTATACCAAAGACTTAACGGCAATAGTTCAGGACTTGTCCAGTGTTTTTATTCTAGACAATAGTCCCGGTGCTTACAGACAGTATCCGGGTAATTATTACAATCATATTTACATTTCATTCATGTCTTAATTGAAATTGATTTTTATGCTTAAAGATAACGCAATACCTATAAAATCGTGGTTTTCTGACCCGCGAGACACAGCTTTACTCAATTTACTGCCAATTCTGGACGCATTAAGGTTTACAAGTGATGTGCGTTCAGTGTTGAGTCGGAACCTACATCTCCACAACCTATGGTAGCGCTCAGACTTCCGCAACATATTCTCAGTTTCATATAATTTGTAAATACACTTCAAATTTTCATCATTACATTCGTTAGTATTAATGACATATTTTAGATGCGAAACAATTTCTAATAATTATTTTGTTTTCCATTAAAACAAGAATAAGAATTTGAACCAAAGATCGATTTTAAACAATTTCGGATCCAATGATATAACGACTTAGTTTTTGACAATTATTTATCTTCTCATCTGTTTTCTGATGCGTTGATTAAAAGTATGAAATAATAATAATAATAAAAAAACAATAATAAGTAATAATAACTGATGTAAAATGACAATTATTTTGGATTCAAATTTAGTGTGTATTATAAGTACAACTAATTTTAGTTGAAATCATGAATTCATTGATGAATTATACCGAAACAAATTTAATTGTACTTTTAAACTGTACTATAAAAATGTTATCATATTTTGGTTTTCATTGTTTTGTTGTCCGAACTCATAGTTTACATTAAAAACAATGTTTTAAAACAAACACAAGTGATATCTATTTGTATTTATAATTGCGTTTATCAACTAAATTATGATAATATATTTGATTTGAATAATTTGAATAACAAACCGGTTATCATTAGACACTTACAAACCATTTTTCTTCAATTAAACATTTTCATTAATTTATTTAAATATGTTTTTGTTTTTATTTTATTTATTTAATTTTATTTCTTATTATTTAAAGTTATTTAAAGCAAAATCCATCCAAAAAACAATTTTATATAATTTACTTCTATTATAAACGGATGACTAATTATTTGTAAATTTGTTTACATTAACAAATCGACATTGTTCTCAACGTATAGTTAATGTTGATATTAGTAATGATTTGTTTAATTAGGAATTATTTTTTATAATGATTGCCATAATTTCAGGAATATTAATTATAAGCGTTACAAAATGATCAAGCAAATTAAATACTGTATTATACTGTATGTACTTTACATTGGATATGTGTAACCTATTAATAGACATTGA